AATCCGATCTGATGTTGAGTGTAAAACAAGTAAATAAATACCTAAAAACAAACAATAAAAAAATAAAGATTTCTAGAAACCAGTTAATTCATCTCATGCTCGGTCTATAAATAAAAAATTTTGAAAAATAATAAGATGACCTAGAAGTATTATTTTCCGTAATGGCGATTCTCAAGCTTAGTTTCATTCTAGCTATCTTTTTCATGGCAACCACGGGTTAGTATTGTACTCTTTTATGTCTACATTATAACTTGACATCATCAAATATTGTGCTTGTCCCTATGTATATAGATACATATATGGGAGAAAACATACTCCGATCCCTATGTAACAAATACGTATACAATTGTTTTTATGCATGTTATATGAACATGATTCTTTTATTCGTATAATATGATTGATTTTGAGAGTGAAATATTTCAGTTAATATGCCGTGGCTCTCAAAATCAGAAGTGTTGGCGGCAAGGGATGTTAATGTTGATCTCTCAAGTCTTGAAAGGCATCTACTCCCAGAAGTTAATAATTTGGGCCTAACTTGTGGGAGACTTTGTCAAACCAACGAGGACTGCAGTGATTGCTGGATTTGTTGTAAATGTGTGTTAACTTGCGACATATAGGTGCTCCTAATTAGTTGTAGAATACCTGCAAATGGTAATTAGCGCATGCCCTCAATGCAAAAAACTCTAGCTACTACAAAGTACAAATTCACGTCTTTAATATTTTGTATGAATAATGGAAAAAAGTCAAGTGAATTAATGACTTTTCATTCAGAAGAATAATGGATTTGATTGGAGTTATGCTAGCATTTTATTACTTGTATAATTCATCGTACCGGGGCGGAGCTACAGTAGTGGGTGCGGGTTCGGACGAATCCAGTGACATTTCCCCAATCATGTCTTTATATTGAAAAATTCGTTGTTTCTATACAAATATATCATGCCGAACCCAGTAATCAGGGCAGATTTACGCTTATCGAAGCGGTGTCACGCGACACCGCTTCGTCGAAAATGTTTATTAAATATATGTATTAATATTGTATGAAAATTATTAAGTAGAAAAAAATGACACCACTTGACATAAATTGTATGTTGGTAATGTGTTTGATTTTTCTATAAGAGGTTAAAAGGTTCAAACCTCAACTAAGACATTTTTCTTTTGTAAATATTTGCTTAAGACTCAATAAAATCAATAAATTAAGACTATTTCTTGTCTAAAAGTATGACAATCAAAGTTATATTTTTTGGGTACCATAGTAAGGGCTTTGGGATCACATGGAAGAGACGCACGTTCGATTCCTTGAAACCAACGCGTTAATTTGTGCTTTTTATGACATTTTTACGACAAAGTTTTGATGGGAGATGACCAGATTAAGAGGAGGTGGCAGACCTACTTTCATAAACTTCTAAGTGAAGAAGGGGATCAGGATATTATACTTGGGGAATTGAGGAATGCCGACAGTCACCATGAATTAAGTAATTGTAGGGACATTGAGATCGATGAAGTCATGGAGGCAATGCGTAAGATGAGAAGGGGCAGAGCTACCGGGCCAGACGAAATTCCGGTTGAACTGTGGAGGTGTGTGGGTAGAGCAGGCTTGGAATGGCTTACTGCATTGTTTAGTGTTATATTCAAGACTAATAGGATGCCTGAAGAGTGGAGGTGGAGTACAATG